TTTCACGCTTTATGATCGTCAGACAAACTGATTACTGTTTTAAACCCAAATTTTTAAAACAGTAATCAGTTTGTCTGACGATCGCTAAAGCGTGAAACCCAGGGTCACAAACTCACATCTATCCAACTATATATATATATATATATATATATATATATATATATATATATATATACACACACACACACACACACACACACACACACATATATATATATATATATATATATATATATATATATATATATATATATATGTATACATACATACATACATACAATATATATATATATATATATATATATATATATATATATTGAAAGAGAGAGAGAGAGAGAAAAGATGGCGGGGAAAAGAGATAGAGTTGATATTATACCAATATAATTAATAATATTAATGGTAATTCATACAATGCATATAGATTTTTATAACTAACTACAAACACGGACATACACACACACACACACACACACACACACACACACACATATATATATATGTGTGTGTGTGTCAGAGTAGTAGATAGGTTCGACTATCGTCCGGTTCACACTCCTCCCCTGTTTTTTGAACAAGAGTAGAGGCTTATTCTCTGTTTCATGTTTACATTTCGGCTTCCTTCTAAAGATATTTGTTTTTCTTTTTCAATTCCAATATCCTCTTGCATCCTCGTGGCATTATGGCCTTACTTGAGGGGAATTTATTAAAAAGAAAAAAAAAAAAAAAACATTTTTCCGAATCAAGTAAATTCTTATAAACTGAAAATATAAGCGATCAGTATTAACCTATACTCGAACTAAATCGAGTCTGACATGGTGATTTTCTAAGCGTAGCCTAGATGTGGCACAAGGCCCAAAGTATGCGGCACCTAGTGAGGACCGAATGCACTTTTCGGTCGTAACTGATCTAGAGAGACAAGATTGCTAACCATTACACCAAACCGGGGTTCACTAAATTTTTTTAAAACGTAGCTTACATGTGGCACACGGCCGAGAGGGAAGAGCACCTAGTCGCAACTGTTTTAGCGAGAGAAGCTTGTAAACCATTACACTACGCCGAGGTGCCAAAATCAAGTCTGATATGAAGAACTAATATTTACCTGTTCCCTCATTAAGTAATTGCTTATATACTGAGGTACAATATTTCTATAAAAAAATATTTTGCACTAAATAATCAAATAGTGATTGATATGTAGTAAAACCCAAACTAAACTCGAAATATAAGTAAAAAACCTAGCGAACAAACTGACACTATTATAATGTTTCTGCAACATTCCAAATTGTTTTTCTACATATACCATAACGTGCCCGTAACATTACCTTGTAAGTTTACAAATTTGCCCTTTAATATTCCTAAAGAGGATAATGAAAACCAGGAAGATATTAGAACGTACATTAATCTTCTAAATTAAATTTTTAAAAAATTACGAAGTGATATCTAATATCATCTATAAATATTATTAAATGAAGGAAGTCTCTTGGTGTTATTTAAAGAGAGCGGACTTTTTCAACTACAACACTTCCCAATGTTACTATAATGCAGTCACAACGTCGTGAGGGTGAACCAGGTAAGTACTTACTTGCAATGATAAGTTATGTAACCTCATATATACCTAATTAAAATATAACATATCTGCAACGTTATAATAATATTACCTGTTAGCTTGAAAGAACTTCAATAAAGTCATATGTGGCATTCACGTTTTCTTTACAAGACATCCATGGATGGAAAAGGTGGATAAGTGAATAGATTTTTAAGAATCGTCAGTACTTATTATTATATTGCTCTGTTCTTACATTGAGCTCTCTTTGTATTAATGTCTTTCTGAGTACGTCATTGTGTTAATGTCTAAAATACTCGGAATAATACAATATGTATCAACACGGTAATTTTCTCTCTTCTTTTAATACCGACACCAAAAAGCTCATCAGAGAATATGAACGGGTCCTGTTGAAAATAAGCAGACAATGCTTGTCTAAAATATTCAACTAAAAATGCCTCAATATATATATATATATATATATATATATATATATATATAACATATATATAAATATGAACATAAAGTCAACACTTAGAGGCGACAGTCTGTTTCATGCTAGATGCAGTCGTTAGGCCACGAGTGCCTGACGATTGCATCTAGCATGAAACAGACTGCCACCTCTAAGTGTTGACTTCTATGTTCACTTTTATATTTACACACGCTCTATCTCTGATATTGAGCACTTTTATCCCATAACTATAACACATCTTAAGACTATATTTCTTCATATATATATATATATATATATATATATATATATATATATATATAGATAGATAGATAGATAGATAGATATGGTGTAAAAAGTTAGTTAATCAGCCTAAAAATACTGGAAAATACGAAAACTTAAGGAATTAGCGCATATGCAAGGCCATAAAAATATACTAAGCCGGCCACGTATAGAAATGAATACAATATGGGATCCATTAGTATAGAGTGATAGACAAAACAATAAAATGCAATATGAGCTCTGGTGAAAAAATGTTTCCTTAGACATTAGGTTTATAAGTCCCAAAAATTTCATACATTGATATCCTAAAGGACACGTGTTGCGGTGGACATGAGCGTTGGTTGAATCCAGTGACTTTACCGAAATTGTGAGTTTAATACCTGGCCACAGCCGTGGTGAACAAAAGTCTTAGAGAGTTAGGTTAAAGGGAGATAACTAATCCCGAGACACCCGGAAAAGGCATGAAGTAGAACAATCTACCACCACTGGGGATCTTAGAGTAGCTTCGGATATTATATTGCTCTGTCACCATTTGTGCGTATACACATTTTGTTCTGCAATTACAGGTGGGTGTTGTGCCTGTTTGTAGTATAAAGATGATATTCTTGTTGCATTTTCTTTACGATTTGTATACTGTTTTCGCTATAACTATAGCATTGTTTTAATCTATTTCTGTTTTGAGGAATTTACTTGATTTTGGGAAACGTTTTGTCGATTTTGATGAATGTTATATGGTGAGGTCAATCATTTGATTTTCCCTTTTAAGTTTTTTTTTTTTTTTAATCTTATGTTAGTTAGGTGTAAATATAATATTTCCTGGGGAAACCCTCTTTTATATTATACTCTAATTCAAGCATATAAATTTTACATATATGGTTTTATGAGTTTTATAAACCGAATTTTTTTGATATATCTCGTACATAAATTGAAATTTACTTGCACGGGAACAAGAAAGAATATTATAAGCTCACACGCACAGTCGCGTGCATGCGCATTCGCGTGTGTGCTGATATATATATATATATATATATATATATATATATATATATATATAGATATAGGTGTGTGTGTGTGTGTGTCTCTGTGTGTGCATATAAAATACACGCCTATCATATACGTTGGTTGTTTTGTGGCAACAATATTTCATGTATATAATCCCACAAAAGTTCTCTCTTAATTATTAACGAAAATTCTCGCAAGCTCTGCTTGTTATTTATAGTGATATAAAACCGGAAAGCTTTGTTTACCGGAGAAAGAATGATTGATTAGATTATTTTTTACGGCTTATAAAACGCTTTGCTGGTGATTTAAAGCCAGAGCATGTTTTTAGATTGGAAACTTTTCCGGAGATAATAATGATTTATTGATACAAGTCCTATTAATTAACCCACATCTTGGGTGAGAAGAGGTGGACCCAAACCTTCTCCCAGGGTCGTTGAGCATAAGAGAATATAAGAAACCCGACTAGAATTGGAACTCGGCCCTCCGATTTCCAATTGCCATTCGCTATCCATTACACTCCCTGCACATACAAGCTTACAGTATCTTGTGTCTCCAATTGGTCACCCATCGAGGTACTGACCAATCACTATGCTCCTTACCTTCGGTGATCGTATGAGAATCGGTGTTTTCACGTGATGTGATCATAATGCAGCTTAGATTTAAATTTGTATTCTCTCAGTTTCCGTTACTCATTGCGTCATTTTAGTCATACTTAGGATGAAAGGTTAAATCAAACGATTTTCGTTCTATAATTTTATTTTTGGTTAGTCTTTTCTTCATATTTTTATTGCAAATATAATTTGAAATGTCGTTCTCAAAATTACTTTTCTCGTGTGTTTGAGTATCACTTGAAGTCTTCGGCTCAAATATTTTAACCACTTCAAATGTCGCAAGCTTATTGTTACACGATCCCTATTTTCATGGAAATTGTTCTGACCAGCGACATGTTTGAGATCAAATCTTTACAGCTAAAACTCGACATGCCATATACAAAGAGGTTCACCATTCTGATTCCATTTGGAATCTACTGGTAAGATGGAAGCTCCATTCAGACAACATCTTCCTACTTTGTGGAACTGACTCCCTAAATATTGCTTCTCCAATCACTGCAATCTTGCATTCTTCATGTCCAGGAACTAACATTTTCTATACAACATATCCTCATAATCTAGAATTCTTGCGTCCAGAAAACAACTCTATTCTAGTAACCATCAAACTGGAGTGACTCTTGGGACTTTTATTGGGTGAACTATAGCATAAAAAAAACAATCTTTGCAAATTACCAAACTAGTCTACTAGGCTAAAGATACTAAACGTCAATAAGATTTATCTAAGTTATAAATCGAAATGAAACGCTATGAAGTACTGACCAATCACCATGTTCCTTACCTCGGTGATCGTATGAGAATCGGTGTTTTCCCGTGATATAATCACAATGCAGCTTAGATTTAAATAACAGGAATGTGCCGTATTGTTTTTTATGGCTTATCAACCCTTTGCAAATTATTTAAAGCCAGAAAATATTTTTAGCTTGTAAGAATTTGTTTTTGCTATACTAATGATTTACTTATACAGGTCGTAACAATTAACCCATAGCTGGGGGAGAGGTGGGTTCATACCTTTCCACGTGTACTTGCGCGTAAGTGAATATAACGAACCCAACTGGAATTCGAACTCGGTCCTCTGATGTCCCATTACGAACCGTTATCCATTACACACACCCACACATTCAGCATCTGATATTCCCAAGAAGTCAGCCATCATGGTACTAACCAGGCTCGATGTTGCTTAACTTCTGTGTACCGGTGTCTCAGCGTGATATGACTGTATGCCAACAGGAAAGTGTGAAACACTTAACTAAGAGAGTTCATCAGGTCATAATCTTGATTTATACGACCAATTTCATTAGGGATTTTATAAATGTTTACAGGAAATTTCTGCCTGCTTGTAACATGTTATATCTTTAAAAGTGCCAGGTTAAACCAAAATGGAATATTGCTGCCACATGCTACTCAAACCTTAATTCCAAACAGATTGAAATTCGTTTACGCTGTTGTGGGTTATTTATTCTCCAACTCAGTGTTGCAAAGCCTGTTGATACGTTATCGCTGTATCCATGGCAATTTTTTTTTCGAGTTACACCAATTCCGAAATTTACTGCTATAAGAAATACTACTTCCACAGGCACAAATCAACCTTATTCCCCCCGAGGAAGAAATGTAAGAAACACGTTCCACACTACCATCTTTTTTCAGAAGAACTTCATATTCGTGGAACAGACGATTGAATGGCGGTTTTCTTCAACACTTTAATTTTAACATCTTCAAGTTATGGGTTAATCGTTAATAATTTATATTTCTTACCACCCATTCTTCCACTCATATCAAGCACCTCAACTGTGTTGGTAAAGAAAAGAAAAAGCAAAAGAAAAAAAACAAATAACCGCAACAAACTCTCAACCCAAAGTGCAAGGGTGCGCACCAAAGCTGCAAGTGAGATGCTAATCAGACGGTGACTTGATACACTCGAAAGCTTAGAATATAAACTGTCTGTGGATGTAGTCCTTGTGAAGTCGGAACATAGCCTAGCAGATAGCCTAAAGGGAGTACCACAGCGATAGCTTGACCTTGTCAGGACGGTTGAACCTGCGTGCTGTGTAAGCGCCGTGTCGCCAGACAAGCACGATTCTGACTGGATAAGGTCCATCCATCACCGAAGCGGCAACCCTGGAATAAGGCCAACGTTGAACTTCGTTCGACAGGTCGACCCCACAGTTTCTAAAGCGTGGCGTGAACTTTCACTTGCATGGCTTAAGCTTTGAGACAAGCATATGACTACTGGCAGGATCAACCGGGGATTGTTGCCACATTTGCGTAAGCGTCCACTATTCTGCTTATATATTACGCATGCCACTCGTTGCCTCTTAGAACGGCGAACTATAGTCAGTTCAGCAGAACTCACAGATTGCTGCCTTTCAGTTCCGCTACATCATCATTATTATTTCGATTGTAACCGTCTATTTTGAGTAGCTCCCGCGCCTTGTATCAGCTGATGTTTAGGGAAAAAATTCCTAGTGAAATTCAATTTTCCTTTGACACAAGTTTCTGCAGTGGGCGGGCAATGTCTACTTCGATATAACAGCGAGAATTGTTCTAATGAGAATATAAACAAGCGAAGTAAACAAAATAAAAACGAGTAAGAATTTCTACCATTGAAAGGATTCAATGAAACGCTTTTAGAAAGATCATTGTACGAATAAAAAAAATATAAAAGGCACGTAAACATTGATTAAATGTTAGAGGAAAGATAATTAAATTCAAGATATAAAACATCAACGACGCTTAATTATAAAATAATCAAGTTAAAAAAAAAGAAAAACACTGTGTAACCAAAGGAACAAAACAACAGAAAAACAAACTGCTCAGCCCTCTCTTTCTTCCTATATATATATATATATATATATATATATATATTCACATATATATATATATATATATATATATATATATATATATATATATATATATATATATATATATATATATATATATATATATATGTGTGTGTGTGTGTGTGTGTGTGTGTGTGTGTGTGTGTGTGTGTGTGTGTGTGTGAGGAAACTCCCGTCGTTTTCGACGTATGAGGTTACAGAAAATCAGTTCTGAGAACGAAAATGCTGGTACTATCCTCACATATGATTTAATTATAATAGTGGAAACTTGTTTAGAACAAACCACACATTTTGGAAGAACCAAGTACATAGAACCGGTGCACACAGTGTGCCGCTGGGGCCCCAAACAACCCTACTCAGGTTTTGAATTCACACCTATACCGGTTGCCACACAAGGCTATAAGATACAGTCTGTCCAATTCACATACTTCGAATGATAAAATGAGTTGAAATTTCTTGGGTATGATATAAGTCCTGAGACTTCCAAATTATATATAGAAAGATAGTAAAGATAAAGACAGACAGACAGACATAGATAGATAGATAGATAGATAGATAGATAGATAGATAGATAGATAGATAGATATGTGTAAAGACGGAGATAGATATATAGATAGGTAATGTAAAGGCACAGCTAGCTAGATTCTAGATGTAAAGACGGAGATAGATAGATAGACAGGCAGACAGAGAGAGAGGTAGATAGACGTAAAGACGGAGATAGATAGATAGATAGATAGATAGATAGATAGATAATGATAATTTCTATATATATTTAATATTCTTAGGACATAATTGTTGAAACTTGACTAATGCATGGAATAATAATGCAACACAAAATGTACTTAGAACAAAATGTATTGAAACAAGAAAGTGTACACAATATTTACATATAGTCTTTTGTATATTCCTGGTAAGACCGTTCCTGGAGAATCTGTTGACTGAGTCGCAGTCGTGCAGAGTCTCTGGTTGAATCTCTTGATTCCTCCCTCTCTTCCCGGTACCAGCCATATTTATATGGTCGGTACTCCACTATGCAAATTAGGTGGATCCTACCACAACGATAATGAAGACAAGAACAGTGGAAAAAAGTAATCTATCTAACGTGATTTTGTAAATGGATAGAAGATGGACTTGAAGGGATATTTTGAAGACCAATTTTATTTAGAGTTACAAAGTATAGAAAGTTATGCAGGGCCTTGATAGCCAACACCTTGATTGGACAGACTACATAAAAGAAGAAGAAAGTGTTCAAAGAGCATTCGGGAAGAGGTGTTTCTTTTACTCTGCGATCCTTCAAAACATAGGGGCTGTCGTGATAGGTTGTTGCACACAGTGTTGGAAACGATAAGGCAGTTTGAAATTAAGCTGGTGAATTATTCAAGCATTTTGTCTCTCTCCTGTCTAGGCTCAAGTAAAGCAAGAACTAGAAAACGAAAAGCAATGTAATTAATATTTCAAGTTACGAAGAGTTACAAACTTTTAGCATTAAAATTCTCCAAAGTCAACGTTGGCAAAATAGAAAAACCATTTTACGTACAACATTCAAATAATCGAATAAAGCTGTACAAATAACGACTTTCAAATAGCATCGATCAGTTGTTGAGAAACACGCAAAATTAGTATACATATATATATATATATATATATATATATATATATATATATATATATATATATATATATATATATATTTGGGCAGCAATCCCACTTTTATTCATGTTTCATTAAAGACTATTGAAGTGTTCATGTTATTAAGCATTTTATTCAGTTTTTTCGTGTTGGTATAAGTTTATTTTTCTGGATATAAAGTGTGTAGAAACTGTCCATTTTTTTTTTTCAGTTGGCTCGCAAATTAGTTGTTTTGTACTTTAATTAAAGAAAATTGTTATACGTACTAATAAAAAGTGAGATCTGATATTTTATTAGAAATCTGATATTTACATTAGAAATTTTATTATGACAAAAAGAAAAAAATATTTTATAATTAGATTTTACCCTCACAAAAATATCCTCTATATACATTGCTTTGAAGTGTGAAAATTGACAGTCAAAATACATTATTGATTACTATATCCACGCTGTCTAAATTTATAAAAAGTCAGATACTTAGATAGACTCAGATACTCCACTATAAATAGAGAAAATTGCAAATTATATATATATATATATATATATATATATATATATATATATATATATGTATATACACACACACACACACATATATATATATATATATATATATATATATATATATGTATATATATATATATATATATATATATATATATATATATATATATATATATATATAGAGAGAGAGAGAGAGAGAGATTTAATAGGCTGCTTAATGAAAGGATAAATTGAAAAAACAACAAAATGATAACACTATTGGTAACAAGGTTGATAATATTTATTGCAAATTAGTAGGCCTCTTGCTTGAATTGAAGCACGAAGGAAAAAATTAAAATTGTTATATATATATATATATATATATATATATGTGTGTGTGTGTGTGTTTTCTTTTGTGTGTGTGTGTGTGTTTTTTGTGTGTGTGTGTGTGTGTGTGTATGTAAACTTCCTTATACCGTTCCTATCGCATTATAATACATTTTAAATTTTATCGCTGTATAAAATAAATCGTTGTGGTAATGTAACTTTTATTTGCTAATAATTGTCAGCAGCCGTCTCCTCAGGTTGAAAACCGATTCGCAGAATGAATTGGCTTTCATTCGAATGTCGAAATTCTGGATATTTAATACAAACGGCGTCCATTTATATGAAATTTCTGAATTTTGTCGTCTCAAATTAACAGACATTTTGCCAACTTGAAACTTTAAATGGACCTTAAGTCTAAGTTGAAGGATCAAGGGCTTATAATGGTAATATTAACTGTTTCTTTTATGAGGAAACATTCAGTATTCATTAATTGCACAGCATGAAATTTGTAAATTGTTTCTCTTAAAATAATTTTTCAGGAAAATAGTATTCTCAAGACCACTAGCTGTTATGACTCTTTTCAATGTTGATAAGGGTTTCCTTTCAAACCTTTTATTTGATGTAATGTGGATAGCCAACCTCTTGAATATGTCATCATTTTCTCTTCAACTTATATGCGATATCAATTTTAGCTGTTGCTACTGTTGAAAAATTCTCGACGGTTTTAGCTTCTGATATTTGGTACAGAACATTGTTCCTGATTCTCTAGTGTCAGGACACAAGGGTCAAAGAAGTGTGGTTTTACCAAGATCGATAGACTTCATCTGAGAAAGCGTTTTTTTTTACAGCTGACATTTTACATATTTTTGGACGCCTGAACTGGTTTGACGCCATTTTATCCATGTGAATGTCTTGATGAGACGAGGGTATTTAATGACA